CGAAAATACAACCTACAGACATCCCAGAAATATCACTTATCCTTGACTCTGAGATGAATTGAAAACATTTGTGTTGTATAGCAAACCATTGTCTAATGTCAAACATCTTTATAATCTCAAGTCTGTGTCATTGCAAAAATTCACTGTTGCACTACATTCGTCCGCCGTGTTTTTTATATTGCAATTATATTCTTATATCCTCCTTCATTATGATTGACAAAGATAAAACGATTTATTTCACGATAGCGTGCAAGACACATAGTTCTTTCATTAAGCATTGAAAGCTTCTTTGCTTAATTATTTTGAATATTATTGGGTGTACAACTTAATTCAGTCCGTTTTTTTGCTTGAAAAACGCATTTATTTGAATGATAAAATGAATTAATACATTATTGAAAGTATTGTCCATCGCTAGCCACTACTTTTTCCCATCTTTCTGGCAATTTATGGATTCCGTCGCGGAAGAAGCGTTCATCTTTTGAAGCTAAGAATGAATCGAGCCAATTTTTGATACTCTGTTCTGAAGTGAAGTATATTCCAGTCAAAGCGTTCTGCATCGATCGAAACAAATGGTAGTCGGAAGGGGCAAGGTCTGGGCTATAAGGCGGGTGAGCCAGAACTTCCCATCCCCTATTTTCTAAATAGTTTTTAACCGGAACAGCCACATGAGGCCGAGCGTTGTCATGGTAAAAGATTATGGACTCGTGTCTGGTCGCATATTCTGGACGTTTTTCCGCTATAGCTCGCTTCAAACGGATCAATTGTCGCCTGTAGAAGTCTCCCGTGATGGTTTCACCAGGTTTTAGCAGCTCATAGTGGATCACATCCTTCTGATCCCACCAAATACAGAGCATTACCTTGGCATCATGGATATTCGGCTTCGGCGTTGATGTTCCCGGTTGGCCGGGCTTTACATACGATTTTTTGCGTTTCGGGTTGTCGTAGTGAATCCATTTTTCGTCCCCGGTAATGATTCGATGCAGAAAAGACTTCTTTTTGTACCGTTCAAGCAACATTTCGGACATGCAAAATCGTCGTTCGATATCTCTCGGTTTCAATTCGTATGGGACCCAATTTCCTTGCTTTTGGATGTATCCCGCGGCTTTGAGTCGTTTCGAAATAGCTTGTTGAGTAACTTCCAATGTTCTTGCGAGCTCTTTTTGCGTTTGACACGAATCTTGATCGAGTAATGTTTCTAATTCTTCATCTTCAAACTTTTTCGGTTGACCCGAACGCTCTTTGTCTTCAACACTAAAATCACCACTTTGAAATCGTCGAAACCATTCTCTGCAAGATTTATCCGACGGTGCAGATTCACCATAAACTTCCACAAGCATTCGATGCGCTTCAGCTGCACTTTTCTTCCAATTGAAACAGAAAATCAAAACTTCCCGCAAATGGTGCTTATTTGGAACGAAACTCGACATTTTCAACGCAGTAAAAATTAAACTTGTTGTGCAAAACTCAAAGGCTTGTAAACAATATTTGGTTGACAGATGTTGACACTTCACGATACAGCAAAAATCAGCTGTCGCCGTCAACCATTTATAACACCTAGAGCCATCCTTTGAAAACGGACCGAACTAAGTTGTACACCCAATATAATATTTAAACAAAATAATAAATTGCACGAAATTTTCATTTCATCATGCGACAGATTGATAGACTTTAGATGATGATGTCGACAAAGAATGTGGACTTTAACTTATTTAAGAAATAACGTTTATAAATTTACATTAGAATTAAGATAAAGAGTTTAAGAGGTTAAATATAAATTTTCCTTAATTAATTTTTTAACAAGTCATACGTTTTCTAAACAACATCAATAAATTTTCTATATAAATGACATTTCATACATAGTTTACGTTCTCCACGTATACAATCACAGTTTACGCGTAAACGCTCAATCCTGATATTTATTATTCAGGAAAACTCGTAAAAAAAAACTTACGGGTTAACTCGTAGCGGGAATATGCAATAGAGAATCCTTTTTGCATTTCGAAAAGAATTTCTAATCGCGAGATAATTCGTCAATGTGTTAAAAGCAGATATGTAGAAGTGAAAGATGTAAGAACCTTCGCTGACAAGCTCTTCGCTTTCCCGTCGTTCCGCGGTGAAACGAACTTCGAGTTAGAAACCGGGCTGACGCTGGCTGGAAGCGGCGACGTCGGTGCCGTTACGCTGCGCACAGGCGAATGGCCGATTTCCTTCTTCTCATTTTCCGTACCCTTGTCCGAAGGCAATATTGGCGACTCAGGTACACTACGATCGTCCTCTTCTAGCGAATGTAGCAACTGCAAAATTAATAAAATTATCTATAAATTATGATTTGTCTATGATATTAATACAATATTCATACAATATATTTGTGAGATACACATATACACACAAACACGCGCGCGCGCGCGCACACACACACACACACATACACACATATTCTTTATATTAATAAAATATAAATTATCCATGACATTAATAAAATTATCTATGACAAAATATAAATAGTGGTGACTTTTAAATAAAGCCAACAAAGAAAGCCAATAAAAGTCTAACACGTGATTATTTATGACATTTGTTCGGTCGATTGGCGATTGGAAACAAAGTTTCTCTGACATTCAGAATGTCTTATAATTTATGAGGTAAGTTATATAACCTTTTCCACCTCGTCGTCGAATTGTTCTTGACTAGGCAATGGGTCCTTTTGGCTTTTCTCCAAAAGTGTAGCGCGTTTTGCCGCAAGATACAAAGATCTCTTAACCTTCACGTAGAACACTTCGGTAACCGCGCGTACGGTGTAGTCCGGTATGAAGGTATGGCGCAACATGGAATCTAAATTAACGGACTGAATGCTTCCGACTGTCTGCGGATTTGCATTCGTAGGCGACTCGGCTGGAAATGACGAAATATATCGTAAATTTAAACGACGATCTATTTAAAAATAAATACATTAATTCAAATTGTAAAAGACATTTGAATTGAATTTTTATTAGCGCCATTTTCTCTATTATTATTGAAAAACATTAATATCGCTTAATTCTTAAGCGATTGCGCCTCTCGTTCAAACATCAGTGAGCGCGTACGGTATTGACGAAGTGAATTACGTTTACTTTTCAAAGATGTATATATATATAAGAAAAGTATTCATTGAGACAAGTTCAACGATATATAACAATTCTGCGCCAAATGAGAATACTGGTCAAAATTTGACCAATAATGGAACCAAAGTTGCGAGTATTTAATTATTTTTAAAATTAATTATCGTGTATAATTGACGATCAACATGTGCTAATTCAACTGAAGACATTTAATTGACAATTTATTTCAACAAATCCAATCGGAAACCGTTCAATTGATGGTTGGTTTCAACGAATTCAATTAAAGATTATTCAATTGACGATTGATATAAGCGAAGGAAATTAAAGATCGTTTAGCTAATAATTGAACTTAATAAATCTAATTGAAAGTCGCTTAACTGACAATTTAACTTAGTAAATTTAATTAAACGTTTAATTGATGATTGATATGAGCAAATTCAATCGATTCAATCGAAGATTGTTTGGTGATGATGGATATGCTCTTCTTTTAATGCAGGTCCTACTCATTGACATTTTTCACGATGTCATAATGCTTTAAGAATAAATATTATCCACGAAACCATTTGTAACTTTGAGTAATCGAACGCTCTTCGATTGAATTTGCTCATATATTAATAGTTAATTAAAAAGCCTTTAATTAAACTTGTTTAATCATCAGTTAAACGGCCTTTAATTAAATTTGCTAAGTTTAGTTGTTAATTGAATAATCTTTGATTTCCTTCGCTCATATTAGTCGTTAATTAAACGATCTTTAATTGAATTGAAATCAATCGTTAATGAAACGTTCTTCGATTTTGCTTAAATCAATCGTTAATTAGTTAAATTTAAACACATTTGTTCAAATTAATTATTAAATTGAGAAAAAATTAATCAATATTTTCATAACTAGTGAATAAAACCAATGACTGTTTATGAATATATAACTTTTTTATCTGTTCAGACGGTAGTGATATATATCGTTGATTTTATCTCAATAAGTGCTTCCCAAAAACATGTAGATCTTTAAAACATGTTAACAAGTTATGTATTCATAAATAGTCGCATGAAATAGTTTCATTATTGACCAAATTTTGATGCCCCACTTTTAGTCAATGTTTTTATTCCGTGCAGTAATGTTATATATTGTTGAAATTGTCTCAATAAGTACTTTTCAAAAATATGTACATCTTTGAAAAGTAGATGTAACACTGTGAATACTTTATATGAGAACTGCCTTACAAACTTATTATTTAGTTGTTTATTTATTTATTATTTACTTATTATTTAATTGTTAGAAAATTTTGATAAATTTATAAAAAAATTACAAATATATATATTTTTCTCTTTCTATTATTTATAATTTTCTCTGTTTTTATTGTTTATAAAAAAATGTATAAATAATAGAAAGAGGGAAAATATATTTGTGATAAAATATAACATTGAAATTTTGGACGTTTTATAAATTTGTTCTAATTTTTTAATTTGTTCTAAATTTGTTAAGTAAACTTGTTGACTAATCGTAACTAGAAAATGAAAAAAGGAGTATTAGCTTAAAACTGTTTAAATAAGGATATATTACAGTAACAAGATAAACTTTTCTGAATGCTTAGAAATATATAGTACAAAGTTCCGCAAAACATGACTTACTGGACTGAGAGCCAATGAGTGATCTCTTAATGGAAAAAATACAAAATATGTGCTATCTTCATAAGACACAATGAATAAGAAATACAAAAGGTTGCAACAGAAATGGAATTGCCATATATTATTTTTCAGAAAAAAAAGAACAATATTGTAATATTGAGTATCGCTACGCGCTCGTTTAAGAGTTAAATAATATATAAATTCGTTTAAGCATTATATAAATAAGCATATACATAAATTCGTTAAAGCATTAAAATCTCACCGATTCCAATGTTAGCAGTGAGTGCTTGAGAGCCAAAGTATGTGAACGGGCCGCTCTCGAACATCATGTTCTCTTTGCCTACTGTTACCTCGACACGACCTTCTAGAATCAACACAAAGTAGTCGACCGCTTTCCCCTGCTGATAGATTATCGCGGCTGGGTCGGTTTTGGCTTTCTCTCGCGACTTCACTTTAATATGATAAATAATGTCCTGTTTCAGTAAACGTCGTAAGATTGTCTCCGATATAACATCTGGTTTAAACGTGTCTACAGCTGGAAAGAGCACAAATTACATAATTACACAAGTTTGGCATGGTATTATGAGAAGTATCTCTCATATCTGAACATTTCATGATCTGCAAGATATTATCTCTCTTCTCATACTTGTGGACAAGTACTGATACATCGCCAACGTCAATTGCGGAGAGATGTGAATCCGTTGGTTCTCCTTTTTCTCTGCAAATATCGTAAAGTCCTTTGGCATTTTCGAACGAACCTGTCGCTTGCGTTTACTTCTGTTATCCACTGCAAAAATGAATATTTCGACGTTAAACGTTCCCTAGGTATTGATGTCCAAACGCGAAAAGGAAATCACAATTCAAGCAAAAGAAGTTTGCGGCGAGCGTGAATAAGCGATAAAACAAAACCTACTAAATACATCTGTCTCATCAATAATCTCAGCCTGAATTAATTCTTCGATAACATCTTCCAACGTAACCAAACCAATCACCTCGTAAAACGGATCACCTTCACCTTCGTTGTTAACTCTTTGTACAAAAGCCATGTGACCCTTGTGACCTGAAAATATTAGTTATTTCGCTCGTTTATTCCAGAATAATCTCATTATTGTTACTTGTACATTATGTCTTACGTTATTGCGTTATTATGTTATATCGTAGCATCGATATACGTTCGCTGATATCCACGTACCTTCTTTGAATTGCTTAAACATTATATCCAATCTGACATCTTCAAAGATAAAATTACATGGATTTTGATAAAATTGGCAAAGTGTCTTGAGCGGCATATTATCATCGGGATCGACAAATGCGAGATCCTTGATATACAACATTGTCACTATATTTGTCCTCACATTTTCATACACTGGTATGCGAGAAAATCCTAAAAGTACAACACGATTAATCCCACTAATCTTACGTCACTAAATAAAGTTAACACGAAAACCTATACTCAGTCGATTTAGGTAACTAACTGGTTCTAATAAGGAAGCGCTAAATGCTTATCTAATGCGAGATTTATCTCTGTAAGAAGAGCACTTAATTGAACTGATAATATCTGCCAGTTATACGAGCAATGTTTCTTACGGAGGAGCGAGTGAGTGAGAACGTCGTTAAAGCGCACTTAAAATGTCATGCATACCTGACTTCATAATCTCGGATACAGTTTCAAAGTCTAGAACAGCATTATAGTTCAACATATATACATCTTCGATTCTGGTCATTACGTCGGCTACGGTCTTCTTCCGCAGTTCTAACGCTCCTGCAATTATATTTACTTCATCTTTCTCTAAATCGTTGTATTCGGTCGTTACCTAGAAAGGTTCCTGTATAGTACGCGTTAATATATCAATTTCAAATAATCATGCACATTTCAAAGACATTTCTAACGAGATCTTTCTACAAGATGCTCCCAGAAACTTGCAAGCATCGTTAACTTTCACTTACAGTTAAATTGATTAACGAAGTTGCCTAATTACAATTATTCGTACAAATTAGAGCTGTGTTAATGTGTACTGTGAGAAGTATTCGCACACCGTGATAAATACATAACTAAAGCTATTTTCTTTAATGTGTATCATCATGCATTCACAGTTCAATTTAATTTCCGCTATTTGGTCATTTAATTTCTTACTTTAACTAGTTCTTTTAATCTTTCTCGATTGTAGACATTTCCTATTTCTTCGCCGAGAATAACATCTAGAATTTTGCTGATTGGATAACTTAGCGGGAAAGTCACTAACATTGTCAACTTGGTCAGAAAGATGGTTTTTGCACCAACGCATAATCCGTGCCTGCTACAGATAGCCTGTAAAACATACATGTGTCTTGAAATAAGGAAATATACTAACAATTAACTAATAAAGCGTTCAATTGCAATTAAATAATTTATTTCTAGTCTATATTAAAAAAAAGTTTGTTCCTAACTTGTTTCCCTACTTGAAGAATTTATTTCTAATGATCTTTAAATTATTTGTCTAATCTATATTACAAAATAAAATTTGTAACAAATCTATATTAAAAAGAATAAAATCTAATGCAAAAGTTATATCAATATTGAGTTAAGTATTTTTTTTACGTAATTTACTATTCACAAAGCTGTAAAATAATATTTGAGGATAGGGATTCAGTGTAATTTGGAAAGAAACTCTTCAATTCCCAAATAAGATCGAGAAAAACTTCAATTTAGCAAACGACACATACCTGTGGCGAAATTTCGCCGAAGATGACGATAGCTAATGTTGAGCAGATAACGGCGACTAGACCGGATGTCAGGTCATCCAATAATATCGTGAATACCGAATTGACAAGAACATTAGAGAACAAGATTGAACACAACAGATAATTTCCGTGATTTCTTACTGGCTGAATAGTTCTCGCGTATTGTTTTTCCTGCAATACAAAAACGTGTGCGTAAGTAGAAGAAGAAGAAAGACGCAACAGAAAAAACAAAAGAATGAAATCTGCTCACCTTTTCCGTGCCGGTGTTGCAAAGAATTTTCAATTCAGTCCTATCCATTGCCATCAAACCCAGATTTAGACCAGAGAAAAGCGCAGAAAGACTGAGACAAACGAGAATGATCAAGATAGTGACCCAGAGAGGTAACAATTTCTCATATGTGCGAATCTGAAATTTCTGAACTGTAAATAATTGTGTTCTCCCTACTAAATAAAACGAACTTTTTAATTATTTATACAAATGTATCCCTGAATGCAAAGGGGAAAGAGAGAGATAGAGAGGAAAATACTTACAGTGTTATACAGCGCAGTACCTTGGTGTTTAAACAGGACTACATCTTTCTTCAGATTGTCTATTGGTTGTTTTGCACATACATAAAATGGTGATCCTGGAGGAAGCACTACGTTAATAGTCGCTGTACTCCCTTCTATTTTTTCCACCTGAAAAAGCAAGTTTAGTTCTTATAAGTTAAACAAGTAAATGGAAGCTTTATTGAATCACAATTAAAGGTATATAAAAGTATATAAAAGGACGAATCAGAGACTTTAAATTCAGAATTTAAAGATTTATCGTTTTTTAAACAAGAGTTCAGGAAAGTACTGATACGTCTGAATTTATTTTTATTTAGTATATATTTTATATTTTTATTAGATTTTATCTTTCTAGTATAGATATGTCTGTAAATTTTATTTTTTAATATAGATTAAAGCTCCTGATCCTTCACTGCGCAACTCTTAACTGTCAAAAGCGAGGAAACGTAAGTCCAAAATTCTTGCATGCTATTTTCAAATAAAAAGTTATTTGTATGAAGGAATATTTGAAATCATTTGAGCATACTTGTAAAACGCTTCAAAAACTATTCTTTTCTCTTGAACAAAAAAATAGTCGTAAAATTTACGGAATATGCAACCTTCCTTTTTGATCTATCTTTTTCCATGATTTTGTCGCATTAATTTTACAACTATTTATTAATTGTTGAGGATAGTTTTAGAAGCATTACTCAAGGGATCGAGTGACCTTTCATTCAAATATCTTTTTATATAGACAACAGCACGCAAGAATTTCAGCGTGTCCTTTCTCGTCTGTGACGTCATGATCCATCGTGGCCGCGGCGAGTACTCAGAAGTTTTAAAAATAAGCTCTTCAAGTAGAAACATTAGAAACAAATTCTTCAAGGGAAGTTAGGAATATGGATTTTTTTTCTTCCGATAAACTAGGAATAAAAATTCTTTTATAAACTAGGAATAAATTCACTTATAACAAACGCTTTGTTGTTTATTAATCATTGATATCTCTGGCTTCAAGATTTTAAATATATCTTTTGCAGACTCTAACTGTACTTTTATCTCCATTATACTAGAAAAAAAAACAACGCTTTTCATTTGGTTTATTTTATTTTTACATTATAAAAGTGCACAAGATCCTATCAGTATTCTTGAAACTTTCACCATTCCTCCGCATTTTTCACACATGTACCTTTTTTTGCTCCAAAGTAAACGTATAATTAAATAATAACATAGGACCACAAAACAAATGTTTGGTAATTAAGACTCCTTGTAACTGGCCGGTCATGTCAGATTTGACGTCAGAAGCGAGGAGTGTGACACATGTTGACGAAAGTTACGTATCATTTCTGAATAAAAATAAATAAAGAGCACTTGAGACTTTTTGCTTGAGTACACTTGTAAAATTATCCAAAAGATATCATTTTCCCTTAATGATCAATAAATAGTTGTATAATAAATGAAGTGAGATACGTAAAATAATGAGTCTGTTTTGTTTGCATGCAGGGAAAAGGATATCTTTCAGATAAGTGTGCTCAAGTAATTTCAAATGCTCTTTCGTCTATATTTATTTTTATTTATAAATGGCACGCAACTTTCGTTAGCGTGTCATTTTTCGTTTCTGACATCACAAATCCAACATGGTCGCGACGAGATACAAGGAGCCTTAATTTTAATGAAAGTAGGTGTTTTTCACTTACAAAAAGCAATGTCGTTGGCCAAATTGTTCCATCAAGTTTTAAAGTTAATTTGAATTTTAGAATATGTAAGAAATCATCGATTCAAAGGAAAAAAATGTACAATAAATCGCTTACTCTCAATGTAGCAATAAAAATAAATGAGTATTCGATTTACACATTAATTCCTTATTAGTAAAGAATAAAAAGATTGTTTTATAAATAGCAAAAATGATTGTTAAGGATACAGCGCATAGAAAAATAAGCACTTTAGAAATTTACTTCTTCACATATATTTTCAATAAAATTTCAAGAGGATTTTATTTAGAAGAGAACAGAACCAATGAAATATATTGAAATCTGACCAATCCTTCTTATTGATCTTGTCATAAATGAGAAATACTCACACGAAATTCGTTGCTCTTGATTTTGTCGCAAACAGTGCCTCTCTTAGCCGGCACGTCGGTGAAGGTGATTAACGTGTCTTTCGTGATACCAGTGCCAAATAATCGGATCACCGCCTTGGTGCCGACCAGAATCTCGGGAATTCCCTCGTCACTGTAACTGGGCTCCTTGTCGGCCATCTCCACCCGTAGGCCTTCGATATGCGTGTCCGTGTCGTTTTGCGAGGTTTCGGAGTCATCAGGCTGGACGAGCATATCGAAACGTCGTGTATGACGAGATTTTCTACGGACAAAAATCACTCTCCACGTGAGACCCAGCTTCTCATCGCGCCCTTTTCATCGTTCTTTCCGTTAAGTCGCGGCCTTTTGAAAAGAGTCCCGCTCGGGAACTTATATTTATCGTCGTGTCGCAAAAAGAGAACAGTGGTCAATGAACTAAAGGCTAATGCGTCGAGAATCGACCGGGACGCGAGGCGTTATCAGCGCTCGTCTCCCCGAGATATCAATACCAGGCTAATCTGAGAATGAATCACTGAGAAGCATGTGTGTAACGAGAGCCCTTCTACAAATAAGGCTATCTGCTAACGAGATGTTCAAACAATGATATTACTTCGCGGATCGTCGTTGAACGCGAAAAGAAAGAAAGAAGGAAGAAATAATTCTTGCGCACGTTCGCAATAAAAATCGTCGCGCACAAACGATTTGAGCTTTTGTAGGAAAGCTCATTTTGTGAAGAAGTCGGATGCAACTGCTTCGGAGGTGTACCGATGTTTTCTTTTCCTGCTGATTTTACTTATTTCTCTCTTATCTCTTTCTTATCTTTCTCTCTCTTTTTCTTCCTGTTCTTCTCTTGCTCTCTTGCTTCCTATTGCACTTAGAGAGAAAGATTGGTCAAGACTCTAACATATCCGCGTTGACTATTGTTGTGCTGCTCTTACTCATAGCTAAACAGAATTTTCGTCTGCAGAGAGCGATGCATGTATTAAATTTATATTTATTTAGAAGAGATTCTACTATATCACCTCTTACTATAACAAATTGAAATGGTTGAAGATGCAAATAAGAGAGATTACTTTATTGAATGCCAAATTTATAACACCATTTCAATTGCTTCATTTTATCATTGGGAATGTTACATTTCATATTATTGCTATAAGATGAGAGCTGTGGGGGATAGACTTTGCCCTTATGTAGAACGGAATGTTTCAAAAGATGCTTCACTTATTATGCCCTATAAAATATCTCTCCAAAAATTCAAACTGTATGTACTTTGGATGAGTTCAAAACTGATTTTTACTTTTATAGCTTGAGTGATCTGTGATGATATTGTAGTATGTTTGATTTTTTTAATGTCCTGCATGAATTATCTGGATTTTCTCTCTCTGAGACACTCCGTATTCACTAATTATTCTATAATTATTTACGTTTCTTTTGACTTTTTGACTGAAACTCGGTTGCACCAAAATTATTTTGGTTTTAAGCGAAACTTAAATATTTATCTTTATTTATTCAGAAAGAAAGATAAAGATAGAAAGATAGTTTAAGTCTCACTTAAAGTCAAAATAATGTTGCTGCAACCGGGCCTGAAAGTTCTCTTAGAGCTTCACGACTTAACTCACACTGCTCTTTGCATTACGAATAATCCTATTCATTTTAAATTTAATTATTAAGGGTTTCTGTTATATATTGTATGCTTTTTTAGAGTTTGAGAGAGGATTATCCGAAATGCAAGAATAACAAATTATGCTTTTCTCTTTTCTCCTTCTTCCTCACTTTCTGAAAAGAAATTTACAAAAAATCACTTACAGTATAAACAGCATACTTATAAAATTCATTTTTGCTGAGAAAGTAACAAATTCGTCAACATTTTTTTCACTTTAAGTGAGTATTTATGAAATTATTGTTAGAATTGAAGCGACAGCAAAATTAAAATCTTTATTCTATTTTGAGCTTATTACATTATACTCTTAGCCTATCCAATTATTCTTACAGATAGCATCTCAAGTTTATATTTAAATTGCATTAGTTAAACATGTTTAATGTTCTTGATGATTCAAAAAACTATGCTCCTACTATTATTTTATATTTAAATCACACTAGTTAAACATGTTTAATGTTCTTGCGATTCAAACTGTGCTCTTACTATTATCTTGAAATTGTTTTTTATTTGCGTTTTTACTAATGCGTTCTATATATTCGTTTTTCTGTTATGTATCTTTTGTATTTCTTTTTTCCATTTTGAATGCGTTTTTCTCCACAATTAAATATGCTATTCTCTATGAAATACTTTACTTATCATAATAGTAATATTTGTTTCTCTTCAGGAAATAATTATTTCTATTGTAAAATCTTACATGATTTTGATGTCTACTATTTTACTAAATGTTTAGTAACGCGCGGATTCTAACATATTACAAAATATTGTAACTGTATGGAGTGTAAAAATCCCAAGATGTTTGATAAACTCTCTCTCTCTCTCTTTCTTTTGTTTCCTCCAAAAAATAGTGCAATTTACTGGATCGTACGGCTGTGTATGGGACGATAAATTTCTTTAACGTGTACGTAAATAACGTACTGTGCCACGCGACGTTATCGGCCGGGGAGGAGGAGCAGACGCACGATATAGGTCATACGGTAATCTATTTTTACTGATTTAGCACGGGCCAAGTTTGACTATTGAATCAGTTGGTCGGTTGGTCGGTCGACTGGTTGGTTAGCCCGCTGCCAACCGATGACGCGGTCAATGGGATACATCGGCCGACGTTGTCGTCGTCGTAGCGTCGTTATCGCCGACGTGTTTCGACGTTAACGGCGACGATAACAACGACGGCGACGCCAGCGACGATGACGATGACAAATTCCATACCCAGTCCTAAATGTATGCGTCTAAAGTTGCGCATTCTTCTCCAGGCCGATAAAATGTATCCCTTCTCCCCCTCTCCACAGCTGTCCCACGCCGGCATTTGTCATTCTTTATTAACAGCGTCTTCTATTACCTAATACAGGACGCCGCGTTCCGCTCAATGTTGATGTTGAGTAAACAGTCGCTTAGGGTGGAGAGCAGTAGACGCGATTTAATAAAAATTAAACGAGCCGCATTGACTACGAGAAACAAAGTTTCTCTATTACCTTCTCGTAAATCAGCGCCGTGATATTCGCGGGAATGAAGGATGTCGAATTCTGTCACGTGTTTTTTTGTTTTCTTTTTTTTGCAGTAACAATGTTATCCTAAAAGGCAGATTGGTCAAGGAGCACCGATATCTTGACTTTCAAGATCACTCAATCTTACAGCGTTAAACTTTTATTTGTAGGGGACAATGAAAAACAGTTTATCGAACACGAGTCATGTTAAGAGATAAACTAATATAAAGAATTATCGACGCAACTGCAAAGATTAAGTAAAATAGACACGAAATTTTTAGGATAATTTAGGATATTCAATATTACATTGATGTCAAGTTTTATTAACATAGGCGAACGACACTGAAATGCAAACATAAGTAAAAAATTGTTCCTTATAAATTTCATATTTTTGCTATAACTTTTTAATAAAGCGTTTTGGGATCTAGTTTTATGTATTTTTTTTCTTATTTCAATTCATAAAACACAAAGTTAAAGTTTAAAGTTTGTATAGAAAAACTTGTATATGTATGTATTTCAAGAGTGTCATTATATAAATTACTTTCTATGTTGTTTTCTAAACAAAACAGACAGTAATTCTGAAATTTGTATATAACAATATATGTTAGCCCTTAATATTATAATAACTAATTATTAAAACCTTAATTTTGAAGAAGAAATTAGAAATAGAAATTGGAAATAACATGCCTCCCTCAATCCCAAGGAACATATGTAAAAAGTGTCAACTTTAAAAAATTTCAAATATCTTAATTCTTAAACATTATCAATCTTTTTCTAATTGCATGAACAGTTAGATAATATTCCAATTTAAGATAAATGTTCCAATGCCCGGACATGTATCTAATTCCGGACACTCTTATTATTTTGAATATTTCCCTAAATATTTCATCTTTCAACGTATACTAAATATAAATATTAAATGTATGTATGTATGCACATATATATGTATTGTACGTTGAAAGTTGAAATATAATCATACTCAAATATAAAAATAATAACAATGTCCGGAGATTGGTACATGTCCGGGCATTGGTACATTTACCTTATATAATGCAAGTTTCAATAAATTCTTAATAAATTTATTTTGCCTTACAATCTTTTTAAATGTAAAAAATATACGAATATACACAATTTGAGAAAGATATAAATTAAAAGAAATATATAAATATATCAATAATGAGAAAAGCACAAATTGAATATAAGAGAACCGACGTCAAAATGAAATATGATGGTCTCTGATTATTGAAACATTTATCCGTATGTTCCTTACATCGAGAACCTTTCGTTCTTTTCGTCATTTCGACCGTCCAATTCTCCTTAGGTGAGGAGAAAATTGTAGGAATTTAACTTTAAAGATAATAGAAAAGGAAAATAAAAAATAAACAAACAGAATATTCTGCACATAAAATCATTAGATTAAATTAATTTCTTCATATCATTTCGCACAAACGTTAATTTCGAATTCTATTGCTAAATTCCGTTCAAATACAAATTTACTTCATACCGTTCAAATACAAATTTACTGCAAGAAACACAAGATTCAAGTCGAATATTGTGTGATGATTTGTGTGTGATTATTCAAACATCTAAACATCCATTCATGTAATGAAAACATTGTAGAGATGGAATATTGTAAATAGAATACATTGTTTCCAAAGTATTAGTGCTACACATACAAGAAATTCAATTCAAAGTAGAACACAAGTATATTTTATTATATTTTATTATAGAAAAATTTTGTAAACATGTAAAATGGAACATTCAGAGTACCACACAACTTGGTGTATGAAATTTGTATATTTTAAGTCTGATATAACGAAAAGTACTAGAGCGTCTCAGATATTTTCAGTCTCCATTACTTTCTGGCTAGAGGATTGATTGTGTATTAATATAACATAGTGAAAATGATAAAAATGAGAAAATTCGTTAAGTTTTATTGATCAATAAAATTGTAAATTTTCTAGTAAATTTGTTTACTTTTGTAATTTTTATCAAGTTGCGTTAAACATACAATCAATCTCCAAGTTTCTGTTCAAACTTTTTACACAAGATATGTTTTTTCCCAACACATTGTCGAGTTAATTTTAGAAATTGCTCCTACGCTCGTTCAATGACGAGTATACCCTCAGAGTTACGGTATATGGGACTGGATAAAAAAAGAAACCGAGACGGAAGCACAGAAAGAAGCACAAAATGTAAGGAAAACTTGACAGACTCGACAGCGTCTCGGAGAAGCGGGAGGAGGAAAATCGACTGAGGAAAAGTAAGATGCGAATATAGGCAGATAGAGAAAGAGAAAGGTAAAAGATGAGACACGCAAGTATAGAGGAAAACTATCGAAGGCTTACTTACTCGGATCGTACCGGAAATTCTATCGAGGTATGTTCGTCGAGTCTTCTCCATATCTCGTCCGTGCCGTTTTTCAGACAAAAATAGATGACGGCGATAGACGGGTCGGGTTTGATGCGAAATTGGTAGATCCCGCGGTTGGCCATACGCGACGTCCACACCACGTCCAGCGTGTTGTCTGGGTGGTGTGGGCACTCACCACGCGGCCACGGCGACCATCGTAGAGCGACGTCGGCATGACTGAGTCTGGTGCCGCGAAACTCGATGAAAAGGAAGTCGGTGGAGGGCTTGACAGGCACTGACAACGCCAACAATTCCGACACCGTTACCATGCGCGCCGAGATTATCGTGGTTTGTGCGTTAAGCGTCGTGAACGACGTGTCGTCGTGCCAGTGATCGGTGCCGCTGTCGTTAGCGACGATCTCGGCTACCTTGCTGGACGTAGCCGAGGCGTTATTGCCGTTATTCGCTAACTGTGCAACGAGCGCGTGAACAAGTAGTAAAAGAATCGCCGGCTGTACTGTGAACGGACGGCCAACATGTTGCGCCATCATACGACCAACGTATCCTGACAAACTTCACTCGGCCCTGTCACGACAGTGTTATATTTATGTATAACGCGCCCGTTGACTGCGCGCTCACGCATGCGTATGCGTGCGACTGCACGCTTCCGCACCGCGCCGCTAGATCTCCATGCGCGGCAGCCGTCAATAATAGGTCTGTTCTTTTTCGCTCAACTGATGTATAGTCGGCTAATTACCCCTGGTCTACATTCAATCAATGACGTATATACATAAACTAAGCATTCTTATACTCTGCTGTAGCAGTGAGTGAAGCTGGAAGTTGGCAGTTTAAAACAGAGTAAGAAAGTTGATTTGCCCCTAGTGTTTTCTCATTCTATCGTATAGAAAGAATATGGCCACTGTCAAGCTGTCAAGTGCTATATATAATTTAGTGCAGAATTAAAAGAATAAAACCGTATATTTTACTTATCTCGACATAAAATTGATATTTATAATATTTTATGCTGTGTATAAATAATAACAGCAATTGCTTTTATCCTGTTCTCATTCTATTGTTACATGGAAAAGGTTAGGTTGCTATAACGGGATGTAGTTCTTGGATAAGGTTTAGTGCTGTAAATAATTTTAATTAGTGCTGTAAGTACTTCAGAGCGACGAATGGCTCAATCACATTGCTTTATTTAACGTATTTACAGTGTTAAACGAACTTTTCTTCTTGACAGTCAATAATGGCTATGTTCCAGTTGCATACACTGTGTTACACAAAACCAGTTTATTGGTTGCATATTATCTTACAAGATATTTTAGATAATATGTGACCAATAAACTGGTTTTGTGTACGTGTGTGTCAAGATGGTTAAGCAATTGAAAAGCACCCAATATAGAGTAGGTTTTTACGACAATTATGGCTCCTGCACACAGGACGCGGTAATGCTTGCCGCGCGGTGGAAGTCCGCACGACAGTCAATCAATATGTTGTTTTTCCATAAGAGCTAGAAGGTTATTACGGAAAGCAGCATATTGATTGGTTGTTGCGCGAACTTCCGCCGCGCGGCAAGCATTACTGCGTCCTGTGTGCAGGAGCCATTAGAGTTATAGCGTGTTCGATTGGCCCTTGGTTAGGCTGCGTTCGGAAACATCACTCGAGTACTTTCCCTTTTTTTTGATTTCACTCTTGTATTTTGCTCACTCCAGCGATTATCGTCTAGTAGTGTGCACACAGTGTGTGTTTCCGAACGCAACGTAAATCGCTCCGAGACCGATTAATGACGTCTTAAGTCTTTACTAACCAATCATAAAGCTTATAAATACATATCTGACCAATAAACGTAGGCTGAATAACACAAAGTGGGTTAACCCAGAGCCAGTTGAACATGCTATTAGAGTTAGTTCCACTAGGGGCGAAAATTATGATAGGCATGACCATATAGTACTTTTGTAGTTTATGACAACTTCTTCAAACTCAATGCCTTACCATAGGAACAAGTTGGAGTAAGAAATAAAGAACACGCATTCGACATCAAGTAATAATTCCGTAAAATCTCATGATTATATCCATATTTTTTTTAACGTGTGGTAAGATTATTTGTATTTTATTAAAGTCATATTTATTATAAACTATCATATGAGAAATCTGAAGTGTAAAATATAATCCTAATTTAAAATAATATGTATCCTAATATATTTACAAGAATTCTGTTTATACTATTCATATATATGACGGATTCATATAAACTTACGAGTTTAAAATTACGGTTTGAAAATTATTTATTAATTAATATTAATAATATTATTATTGATTAATATTAATATTAATATTGATATTAATATTAATCAATAATAATAATATTAATATTAATTAATTAATAATTTTCAAACCGTAATTTTAAACTCGTAGGGAGGGTCCCGATTGCCGACAGTATTGACCACAAATTGTAATGATTGGTTCGATCTGGTAATTCACTAGATAATTCTTATCATCGATTGGCTTGTGTGCAATCGTACAATAAGCAATCGGGACGCTCCCAAACTCGTAAGTTTAATTGTAACTTCCGTTACATATATGAATAATATAAACAGAATTCTTGTAAATATATTAGGATACATATTATTTTAAATTAGGATTATATTTTACACTTCAGATTTCTCACATAGTTTATAATAAATATGATTTTAATAAAATACAAATAATCTTACCACACGTTAAAAAAAATATGGATATAATCGTGAGATTTTACGAAATTATTACCTGATGTCGAATGTACGTTCTTTACTTCTTACTTGTTTCTATGGTAAGGGCTGTGGCATACAGAAAAACTTGAGTGGGTTTCGATTGACCACGGTACGATTGGACATAGATTGTGATGATTGGTTCGACCTAGTAACTCACTAGATAATTCTTTTCATCGATTGGTTATGTCCAATCGTGCCGTGGTCAATCAGAACGCTCCCAAAAACTTAAGCAGTAAAACGTAAGAAGTAAGCAAATTGTTTAATCACAGTCGTTGATTCTTGGACCGTAAGAAGAATCAATAACTGTGATTGGTCAATTTGCTTACTGCTTACGTCTTACTGCTTAAGTTTTTCTATGTGCCACCAGGGCAGCGATCATGTAACTTTTCCCCTAAGGCGGAAACATGAAAAGTGAAGTTTCACGTGAACTCGTAATTACGTAAAGCCCATTCTACAATTGCGTGAACGTGGATGTAAGTGGTTGTAAGTGATTACAACAACCAATCAGAGTAAAGCAATCAGTGAATAAAACATTCGGATTGGTTGACTCTTACGTTCACGACTACGCTTACGCAATTGTAGAATGGGCTTAACTCGGCGGAACGTGGAAACGTGAAACTTTTTACGTGAATTGTTAGCCATGAAATGTGCTGGCGGAAAAGTGAAAATCTAGTGACATGATGAATGCGGAATATATTATGCTACTGCTGTGATGAGATATATGAAACATAACAATCCTAAGGTTATAGCGATGTTTTTAAGGTTAATATGTTCTACAGCCGATGGATATAGCCGATATTGAAATCATATAGGAACCATGTTTAGTGATTTGTGCTTTTCACGCATAGAGTTACTTGATTGCGTGAACAATGAAAAAGTTTACGTGAAATCGATAAAGCGAAAAGTGAAAAGTAAAAAGTTCCGCTCGAAGTTACGTGATCGCTGCTCAGCTTAATGGCTCCTGCACATACGACGCGGTAATGCTTGCCGCGCAGCGGAAGTCTGCGGAAGTCCGCGCGACAAGTATTACCGCGTCTTGTGTGCAGGAGCATTAGAAGAAGTTGTCATAAACTACAAAAGTACTAGATGGTCGTGCCTATCATAATTCCGGTCCTAGTGGAACTAACTCTAATAGCATGTTCGACTGGCCCTGGGTTAATCGCTCCGAAAGCGATTAAAGACGTCATAAATCTTTACTAGTCAATCATAAAGCTTATAAGTACTTGTTTGACCAATAAACGTAAACTGAATAACCTAGAGTGGTTTAACTCAAAGCCAGTCGAACATGCTATAACTTTAAAGGAGCCTTTACATGGGAGCATCGAGCGTCGAGCGTTAAAGTAGACAATCAAATGCCACTTTCCGCCAGAACTATAAGTATACTTCTGGAACCTGATACGTTGATTAGCTAACGCTTTAACGCTCGACGTTGGAATGCTCCCATGTATTGGCACCTTAATAGCGTGTTTGACTGGCCCTGGGTTAATCTCTCCGAGAGCGATTAATGACGTCATAAGTCTCTACTAGCCAATCATAAAGCTTATAAGTACTTGTTCGACCAATAAACGTAAGCTGAATAACCCAGAGTGGTTGCGTTCTTTTATTTGCAACAGATGTAGCTGAATGCATCTCAAGGATGCATCAAGATTGCACTTTTCAAGGTTACTAGCTAGTGATGTACTGTCCCTAGAAAATAAATTTTTCTATTGGCTATTGGATCGTATGTCCAACGTCGGGTCCCAATTAGTAACGTATTGCCAGTAATCAGTATCAGTATTGCCTTTATAAGAATTGTGTGTGTGTGTATGTGTGTGTGTGTGTGTGTGTGAGAGAGAGGCGGTTTAATAATAATATCAAATAATATAAAAAATGTCATTAATTGAAATCGATTTAATACATGGAACATGGCCAGTTATTAGAGGATGAAGAGTCCTCAGAATTAATTTTAGATGCTGTTATTACAAACAAACCTCCAATAGCTCCCACATTTGCAGTATTCATCTATAACCTTTATAGAAATATCATACTAAGAATCATTGATTAATTACTTATTTTCAGTATTAAAAGTAAAGTATTTAGTAATATTCTGTGATTCAAATACAGCTTTTAGTACTTAAGTATTTCAATATTTAATGTTACAAATCCTACCTTATGATTGATTTCAATACTTAAATATTGATATGTAATACTTTGTTCAGTGATAAAATACTTACGCAGAACATTGTCAATATTTAAATACTAATATATAATACTTTGCTAAGTGATGAAATACTTACGCAAAGTACTGTTAAGATTAAAAGTATT